TAAAAAAAAAAAAAAAATAGAAACAAGAGAGAGAGGGGGAGGAAAAAGAGGAGGAGGGGAGAATAAACAACGACGGGGGTGAAGAGGGGAGAGAGGAAAAAAAAAAAAAGAAGTAGCTGTACCATGGCTAATGTGAAGTTTCCTCATCCAAGGGAATATCTGAGGTGCCTGCCCTTCTGTCGCGGCCGCCGAGGTGGCGATGGGCTCTGCCTGCGCTCGGGGGATGCTGCCGCTTATTGGAGTGCCCTCGTCGGCTCCCGAGGACGCGCTGGTCTCGTCTAGTTCTGTGAAATTTGTGCTGGTGGTGCTGGCGGCAGCAGGAGCTTGCTCGGAGGGGGACGGGGCGGGTTTCCCTCCATGGCTCTCGCTGTTGGAGCAGGGCAGGGAGTCGGGAGAAGATAAGGAGCAGCTGGACGCCTGTCTAAACCTCTCCTGAGCTGGAGAAGGGAAACCGCGGGAGCCCTCGGCCACAGCCCCAAAGTGACTGGAGGAGGCTGAGCGGTTGATGCTAAGGTCCATCCCATTGTAGTTGTAGCCATAAGAGCTGGAATGCATGGTGCTTGAATCTCTGTAAGAACCGTTCATGGAACTGCCGGTCCCATAATTTAGTAACTGATAGTCGGGGCCATTTGGGTAGCGCCCTGAGAACGAGTTTACAAAGTAAGAGCTCATTTGGGTTATTTTGGAGGGCTTGATTTGTGGCTCGTGGTCGTTATAACCCCCGTGCTTGACGATTTATGATGTATTAATGAATTATAGCGATGCACTGTACTTCGTTTTTGCTATGTATGCGGCCAAATATGGGGGGAGGGTGGGGGGTGCGTTTGGGCGTCACGTGCTTTTGTTGACCAGTCGTAAATTCTCACTGATGACCTCAAGAGGTAATTCATGCTCTATGGTTACAAATAATGACGAGCTCCGAGCCGCTTTTAGGCCCAAAGTCGCCCCCAAATCCGCCGCCGCCATCGCCCCCCGCCTGGGCGGAGCGCGCCACCTGCCGGCCAAGCCGGAGCACCGCAGCTTTTTTGGGGAGAACACCCCCCCCCAAAAAAACCAAAAAAATCCCATCCCCCCAAAAAAAAAATTAATAATCACCCCCGATTTGCTCCGGTCCGCTTGGGTTTTCCCTCGAAAAGCAGAAAAAAGGAGTGGGTGAAAAGCGCGGTGCGAAGCTGCGGCCGGGAGGGCTCCGGGGCGCCAAGGGGTTTTATTTTTTTGGGGGGGAAAAGTCTTTGCGTTTCTGGCGTTGGAAAAGCGGTGGAGAAGTTTGGGATGAGTTTTTGAGTGGCTGCGAGGCCTCTGTGGGTGGCTGGAGTCGGGAGTTGTGGGGTTTTTTTTGGTGTGGTTCCTCCGCGGGTGTTGTCGCCAGGAAAAGTCTCGAGGTCCCCTCCGCTCGCACCTTCAGTTTGGACAGGGAGGGAAAAAAAAAAACCACCCTGGAGGGGGAAAAATGGGTGGGAAAAAGGAAAAGCAGGCAAAATCCGGCTGCTGGGAAGGCTTGACGAGGTTGTTTCTTTAGGATGTTCCTGTCGCTGAGCTTTTCCACCTCCTCTTTGCGCCGCTTTTCCTCCCCAGTCCTCGACCTGCAAGGAATATTTGGGGAGCAAAAGCTCCCTGAAATTGGGCAAAACGTTGGGAAAGAGCCGAGCTTTCCTTTCCTTTTATTCCTCTTTCCTTCTTCTTTTTCCTCTTTCTCCTTCTTTCCTTTTCTCTCCTTTTTGTTATCCTTTTTTTTATCCTTTTTTTAATCCTTTTTTTTTAGCATTTATTTCAATTTATTTTCTCCCCCCTCCCCTTTTCCCTTTCCCTTTCCGAGGCACTTTAGGAATTTTCTTGTGCTCTCCTGCAACTCGTTGGGATTTATGCGCCATATTGAAAGTGACATATAATTATAATAATTACGGGCAATGAAAAGCGTGGCAATAATAGTAAATGTCCTACAGCTGTGAAGCTTCTGCATGAATTGATTTTAAAAGTGACTGACATTAAAACCGGCTCGTGGCGTTTCCCACCGAGGGGTTTCCAGGCACGAGATATTTTATTTTTTTTTCCCCACCCCTCTCTCTTTGAAAATTCCCCAAAATCCCCGCAGAGGATTTAAAAACAAACCAAAAAATAAATAATAAAAAATAAAAAAATATTTTTTTTTTTTTTTTCGTTCTGCTGAATCCTAAAGGCGAGGAAAAGTTGAGTGTTTGGGGAGGAATTCCTCGGTGAGGAAGACGAAACCTCGTCCCATCCCCGAGCCAAGGAGCCGCTGGCAAAGAGAAAATCAAAATCCGCCCTTTCCAAAGTGCTTAATTCAGATTTTCCCCACTTTTTTTTCCCCCCCCCTTTTATCCCGGTTTAAACAAACGCTGGAATTCCTTCAACTAACTTTTTTTTTTTTTTTTTCGGGGTAAATTCATTAAAAATCTAAATTTTTAATATTTTTAAAATTTTTTAAAAATAATTTTCTTTTTCCTGCTCCACATTTCTCTTTGATTTGGGGGCACGGAGCGAGGGGAGCAGATGTTTGAAAGATGCTGGGCAAATGTTAGGTATCTCGGGTGGATAAATGAGAGCGGAGTTTTGCCCGTTTCCTTGATTTATTACGGAGATGGGACGGCGTTTCCTCATAACTCTTTGTTACTGTAACAATAAAAAATAAATAAAAAAAAATATATATATATAAAAAAAAAATAGAGAAAAAGAGCGGCGCTAATTCAGAAATGTCAGCCAGGAAATACCGAACAGATTGCAGCGGAATAAAAACCAAAATACAAGGGGGAAAATCAGATTTATCCGCCCCGTTTCGCTTGTCCTGGAGGAGGAGGAGATGCTGGCGCCCAGGGGGGAGCGAAAATTTCATTTTCAGCGCTCCTCTCCTCAAGAATCCCCCGAAAAAAGGGGAAAAATCCCCCAAAAAACAGAGTTAATAATGACAGGGGAGGGGGTGAGCGGGTGGGATCGGAGACTTGGATTTTATTAGAGAATTCCATACCTAAGACAAACTCCAAACACAACACGTACAAAAAAAAAAAAAAAAATTAATAAAATAGAACTTTCTGGCGCTGGCGCTCCTTTTTTTTTTTCATTTTTTTCTATATTTTTTTTTTTTTCTGTTTGTTTGCAGTAGGTAGTACTCGTTCTTTCAGTAGGATTTTCCTTTTCGAAATAAAACTTCAAAATAAAATAATAATCAAAATAATAAACCCCATCCCAAAAAAACTAATTCCAAAGAACCCCAGGGTTTGATTAATTTACCAAAAGCGTGGGAAAAAAAAAAAATTAAAAAAAAAAAAAAAATAAAAAAAGAGGAAAATTTAAAAAGAAAAACCAAACTTATGTCGACCGTGCATGAAACATTTTTACAAAATTAGGACAATTAACACCCCAAATGACAAATATTGCAGCACTTCCATTAAATACAAGAGTTAGCAGATTACTAACAGTGACACCAAGGGTAGGAACACGGCTGGGAGCCCCTTTTTTTTTTTTTAGATATTTTTCACTTTTTTTCAATTTTTTTTCCCCCTTTTTTCTCTTTTCTTTCCCTCCTCTCCTTCTCCATCTCTTCACTTTTTAATTTTATTATTATTATTATTATTATTCCATTTCGTGTATGGGCGTAGCGGGAGGAAAAGGGAGGTGCAGGAAGGGAAAATGAACTCAAAATTTGATTTTTTTTGGGTTTTTTATCTGTTTGTTTCTGGATAAAATCATTGGGAATTCGAGTCCGGGGAGTTTCTGGTCCAAATTTTGCTGTGGAGGATTTTTCCTCCCAGCCATCCCTTCATCCCCCTCCTCTAAAATTCCCTCCCTAAATTGAATTTTTTTTGTCGCTTTCTCCTCTCTTTTTGCTCGTTTTAAATAACTTTTTTTGTTCTTTTTTTTTCCCCTTCTTCCCTCTTTTTTTTTTTTATATTTTTTAAATTTTTTTTTAAATTTTTTTAAATTTTTTTTAAGTTTTGAATTTTTGAATTTTTGAATTTTTGAATTTTTGAATTTTTGAATTTTTGAAATTTTGAAATTTTGAACTTTTGAACTTTTGAACTTTTGAATTTTTGAACTCCTGAATTTTTGAATTTTTGAACTTTTGAATTTCAGAATTTCGGAATTTTTGAACTTCTGAACTTTTGAATATCTGAACTTTTGAATATCTGAACCTTTGAATTTCTGAACTTTTGAACTTTTGAACTTCTGAATTTTGGTATTTTAGAACTTCGGAACTATTGAATTTTTGAACTTTTGAACTTTTGAATTTCTGAATTTTGGTATTTTGGAACTTTTGAATTTTTGAACTTTTGAACTTTTGAATTTCGGAACTTTTGAATTTTTGAACTTTTGAACTTTTGAATTTCTGAATCTTGGAATTTTGGAACTTCGGAACTTTTAAATTTCTGAACTTTTGAACTTTTGAACTTCTGAATTTTGGTATTTTAGAACTTCTGAACTTTTGAATTTTTGAACTTTTGAACTTCTGAATTTTGGTATTTTAGAACTTTGGAACTTTTGAATTTTTGAACTTTTGAACTTCTGAATCTTGGTATTTTAGAACTTCGGAACTTTTGAATTTCTGAACTTTTGAACTTCTGAATTTTGGTATTTTAGAACTTTGGAACTTTTGAATTTCTGAACTTTTGAACTTCTGAATTTTGGTATTTTAGAACTTCGGAACTCTTGAATTTTTGAACTTTTGAACTTCAGAAATTCCGAATTTTTTTTTTTTTTTTTTTTAACTCTTGAATTTCTGAATTTTTTTCAAATTTCGAAATCTAAGAACATCCCTAATATTTGGAATAAATTGGAATTTTTAATTTTAATTTTTTTTCTCCCCTCCCCCCGGGGCTGCTTTTTCACTCCGCCGCTTTCTCCTCCTCCTCCTCCGCGCTGAGCTGCGAGGAGCTGAGCAGTTTGTTCTCCTTTTTCCACTTCATGCGGCGGTTCTGGAACCAGATTTTGATTTGCCTCTCGCTCAGGCAGAGCGCGTGGGCGATCTCGATGCGTCTCCTCCGGGTCAGGTAGCGGTTGAAGTGGAATTCCTTCTCCAGCTCCAGGGTTTGGTACCTGGTGTAGGTCTGGCGGCCCCGGCGGCCGCTGGGCCCGAAGGAGGAACCTGCCACAGCCGCGAGGAGAAAAATTTAATCGTGATGATGGTGGTAATTGGAATAATAGTAGTGATGATATGGGTTGGAATGGGATTTAAAGTTGGTTTTGGGGTAGTAGTGAAAATGGTCTTAAAATGGTTCTGAAGTGAGCCTAAAATAATCTTAAAATAATCCTAAAATAATCTTAAAATAATCATAAAATAATCATAAAATAATAAAATATTATCCTAAAATAATCCTAAAATAATAATAAAATAGTCCTAAAATAATCTTAAAATAATCCTAAAATAATCCTAAAATAATCCTAAAATAATAATAAAATAATCCTAAAATAATACTAAAATAATACTAAAATAATAATAAAATAATCCTAAAGTAGTCCTAAAATAGTCCTAAAATAATAAAAAATAATCCTAAAATAATAAAAAATAGTCCTAAAATAATAATAAAATATCCTAAAATAATCCTTAAATAATCCTAAAATAATCCTAAAAAAATCCTAAAATAATCCTAAAATAATCCTAAAATAATCCTAAAACAATCCTAAAATAATCCTAAAAAATCCTAAAATACTCCTAAAAATAATCCCAAAATAATCCTAAAAATAATCCCAAAATAATAAAAAAAATTCCTAAAAATAATCCCAAAATAATAAAAAAAAATCCTAAAATAATCCTAAAATAATAAAAAAAATCCTAAATAATCCTAAAATAATCCTAAAATAATAATAAAAAAATCCTAAATAATCCTAAAATAATCCTAAAATAATCCTAAAAAATCCTAAAATACTCCTAAAAATAATCCCAAAATAATCCTAAAAAATCCTAAAATACTCCTAAAAATAATCCCAAAATAATCCTAAAAATAATCCCAAAATAATCCTAAAAATAATCCCAAAATAATAAAAAAAATTCCTAAAAATAATCCCAAAATAATAAAAAAAAAATCCTAAAATAATCCTAAAATAACCCTAAAATAATCCCAAAATAATCCTAAAATAATAAAAAAATAATCCTAAAATAATCCAAAAATTAATCCTAAAATAATCCTAAAATAATCCAAAAAATAATCCCAAAAATAATCCTAATATAATCCTAATATAATCATTAAAATAATCATCATATCATCAAAAAATAATCCAAAAAAATAAAAATATTAATGCAAATAATGATGCAAATCATGATAAAATAAATAAAAATAGAATAAAAATAGAATAAAAGTAATAATTCAAAATAATAAAAATAATAATAAAAATACTGAGGATAATACTAAGGATGATGATAAAGGTAATATTAAAGATAATACTGAAGATAGTACTAAAGATAATACTCGAGATAATACTCAAAGTAATACTCAAGATAATACTAAAGATAGTACTAAAGATAATACTGAAGATAATAAAGATAATAATGAAAATAATAATAAAAATAATAATGACAACAATAATGGAAAAATAATGACAATAATCATAAAAATAGTAATAAAACCAATAAAAACAACAATAAAAAATAACAATAAATCACCCCCAAAATTAAATATATATATAAAAAAAATAGGAAATAACTCGAGGAAAAAAAAAATAATGGGGGGAACCCCGAGTTTGATTTTTAGGGACTCTTCTCCTTCCCAAATCTTGATTTTTTTGGGAAGCCCGGGAGCTGCTGGAGCCGGGCAGGGGGGAACCAGATCCATCTTATTCCGGGATGAGGAATCGCAAGGTGTTCTCGCCACCCCCTCCCGGCCGAGCCGGAATAGATCGAGGCATTTAAGCAATAATGAAGTGAATCGATCTGCCCAAAGCCCGCATTAAAGAGGACACAACTCTCCTGTCCCCGCGTTAATGGACATCAATTTGGACTTTAAAAGGCAACAAATGCATCTAAACACGGGAAAGGGTGGAGAACATTATTTTTTTTTCCCCCCTCACCACCCTCACCGACCTCTACTTCTCCTTTTTTTAATTATTATCGTAATTCTGATGGAGGAAACGGCACTTAAAGAAAGTCGTAGATCACTTTTTAGTGGTGGGGAGGAATAAAAAATTATAAATAAATAAGGAAAATCCTCCCCCCCCCCACCCCGGGCTGACTTTTCATTAAGTGCGAGCGGCATTAAAAATGCAACCGCGTCTACTTTCAAATATTTAAACACTTTTTACATCGGGGAGAGGGGAGAGAGGGGGAGCTGAGGGTCGGGGCAGGGTGTGTAAAGTCATCCAGGTCTGATTTAGAAAAGATATCTCCCTGTGCGTGCGGGGCAGGGACAGAGACAAATCGCTGGGGCTGAGTGACACGCGGACAGGAACGCGGCAAAAAGGGGGGAAAAAATGAAAAAGGAGGGGGAAAAAATGAAAAAGGAGGGGGAAAAATGAAAAAGGAGGGGAAAAAATGAAAAAGGAGGGGGAAAAAATGAAAAAGGAGGGGGAAAAAATGAAAAAGGAGGGGAAAAAATGAAAAAGGAGGGGAAAAAATATGAAAAACGGGGGGAAAAAAATCAAAAAGGAGGGGGAAAAAAATCAAAAAAGAGGGGAAAAAAGTCAAAAAGGAGGGGGAAAAAAAATCAAAAAGGAGGGGAAAGAAATCAAAATAAAAGGCGAGGAGAGGGGGAAGAAATAAAGTTTTGGGGTTTAAAAGTTGGGATTTTTTTTTCGCTAAGGGGCGCAGGGTGGGAGGAAAGAACCTTGGAGCTGCGGGAAGTTTTGGGGCGTGTTTGGAGCCTCTCAAAGTTCCCCCGCTGGAAGTTTGGGCTCTAAAAGTGAATTTTCCTCCTGCTTCCCTCCCTCGCTCGCTCTCTCTCTCTCTCCCTGGCTCTAACAAATAAGAAAATAAAGGATGGGGTAGGGGAGGGAGGTGGCGGGGAGAGAGAGGACAGGGGAGGAGGAGGAGGAGATCGACGCATTTATTTCTTTAAAAGATTAAAACTCACTATTGCAAGAGTTCATCCGCTGCATCCAGGGGTAAACCGGCGCGGAACACTTTTGCTCCTCGCTCTCTCCGAACACACTTTTGCTCTGCGCGCAGTCCGGCTTGGGGGCGAAGGGAACCTCATCCAGGCTGCCGGGGGCGCACGGAGCCGCCTCCTTCTCCCTGAAAAAGCCGCCGGGCCCGTACTCACAGGCCGAGCCGCGGCTGCCGAAGGCTGCGTTGCTCTGCTGGTAGTAAGGAGAGGAGGTGTAGCCCTTCTCCTGCACGCCCGTGGCTCCGTAGGTGCTGGGGTAGTGCCTCAAAGGATCCGCGTAGCCCGAGGGGTACAGCGGGAGCTGTCCCAGGAAGGGCTCCTGCCCCGCCGCCAGGCTCACCGGGAAGGTCGAGTTGACAAAATAAGAACTCATCGGAAAGAGGAGAGAGAGAGAGAGATTCCCCCCTGTTTTGTTGTTTTTTTTTTTTTTTTTTTTTTTTGGGTGGGTTGTTGCTGGTTTTGTTGTTGTTGTTTGGTTTTGTTTTGCTTTGTTTTGTTTTGTTGTTTTGTATTTTGGTTTTTTTTTTTTTTTTTTGGCCGTCCCTTATTATTATTTTTTTTTTTCTTTTTTTTTTTTTTTTGCGCGCCCGGGCTTTATGATTTGTTGTGTTTTATAGTCCAAGTGGTTTAGCTATTAGTGCTATATCGGAGATTGGGTTTTAGCTGAAGGGAGATGGCGTGGTGCCAGCGAGGGACACAAGGAAATACAACCATCTGATCACGGGCTGACCAATAGCAGGCGCCTGAGGTTGCAAAATAGCACCCATGAGGAGCTGAGATTGCACCAGGGACCCCCAAGAACAAACCGTCCACCCCCTTTTTCCCTCCCTTTTAAACAACAGAAAGGCACCCCCTTAACCAAATATATAATATCTGCCGAAAGAAACCTTCTCCCGGCGCGCTGCGAGCTTCATAAATAAATAAACGTGTGGTGCCCCCCTCCTCCTCCTCCTCCTCCTCCTC